TTAGTTGTTTTGGATGGGACTCCTCAATTCTTCACCCAGGCGATGCAATGCTTCCTGTCGCGCTCACTGAACCTGCGCCTCGGGTTCAGTGATTCTCTCCTGGCCTGCAGCCTCGCGTTCCGAATGGCTGGGATAAAATACTGGGAAATGCAAAACTATAAACATTTTAAAGGCAACGAAGAGAAAATTGTACAGTGTGGCTTAAGGATGGGGAGAATTTTTTAAACAAGAACACAGAAGCCCCAACTATAACGGAAAAACAAGTTGATAAATCAACTACAATTTTTTTTTTTTTTTTTTTTTTTTTTTTTTTTTTTTTGCAGACGACATCTCGCTCTGTAGGGCAGGCCGGAGTGCAGTGGGCTCCGGATCTCAGCCTCACTGCAAGCTCCGCCTCGCGGGTTCACGCGAATTCATCCGGCCTCAAGCCTCCCGAGGTCGCTGGGCAGCTAACAGCGCGGTCCGCCACATTCCCCCGGTAGTTTTTTTGTAATTTCTTAGGTAGAAGACGGGGTTATCCCATTGTATAGCCAGGCGGGGGTTAGTGTCTGTTCCTGCCTGTGATCCGCCCGGTCTAGGGACCTCCCAAAGTGCTGGGATTTTACAGGCTGCGCCACCGCGCGCACCGGCAATTTTTTTTTTTTTTTTTTGAAGATGGAGCTCGCTCCTGTCGCCTATGGTTGGGTGCAGTGGCGCAGTCTCGTCACTGCAAGCTCTGCATCCAGGTTTACGCCATTCTCCTGCCTCAGCTCACGGACAGTAGATGTGGACTACAGCGCCAGCATCGCCTGCCAGCTCGCGACGGCTGATTTTTTTGTACTTCTTTTTAAGTAGAGAGCGGGGTATTTTGCGTGTTGGCCAGGATGGTCTCGATTCCTGGGGACTCGTGATTCCACGCACGCTCTCGGCCTCCCAAAGGCTGGGGATTACAGGGCGTGAGGCACCGCGACATCCACCGGGCCTTATTCAATTACAGTTTTTTTGAGCCACCGCGCCCGGCCCTTAAATTCAACTACATTTTTAAAAGAGAGAGCAAAAAGATAAGTTAGGCTGGGTACGGTGGCTCACGCCTGTAATCCCTTTGGGAGGCCAAGGCGGGCGGATCGCGAGGTCAGGATATCTAGACCAGCCTGGCCAACATAGGGAAACACCGTTTCTACTAAAAATACAAAAATTAGCCAGGTGCACACTGTTCCTTCACAGGGTGCTGATTCAGTCCACCCTCTTTATATGAGGCTGCTTGGGCTGCCATAAGAAAACACCATAGACTATGTGGTTTAAACAACAGAAATTTATTCTCTCACGGTTCTGGAGGTTAGAAGTCCAAGATCAAGGTGCTGGCCGGGTTGGTTTCTGGTGAGGCCTCTCTTCTTGGCTTGCAGATGGTCACCTTCTTGCTGTTTCCTTACATGGCCTCTTCTCTGTGCACACAAGACAGAGAGTCTCTGGTGTCTCTTCGTCTTCTTATAAGGACACGAGTCCTATCTGATTAAAACCCTAGCCTATGACCTCATTTAGCCCCTCCTGCCTCCTTTTAGGTCCTGTCTCCAAATACAGTCACATTGGGGGTTAGGGCTTCAGCATATGAATTGTGTTTGGGGAAACACAATTTAGTTCATAACATCATCCCATTTTCCAGATGGAGAAACTGAGGCTCCAATAAGGTGGTGATTCTTCACAGCACACTTTGAAAATGAAGGACTGAGGCTAGACCAGTTCTGACACAAGCACAGCTGCCTGATCTCTGGTGGCTGAGTGAGGTCCAGAGCTTGGCAGGGCCTCATTCTCCTGGCCTCTGCTCAGAACCCAGCACTCCACTGGTACCCTGGGAAAGGGCAGGAAGCTCCAGGAGCACATGTAGGAAGCACTGCTGGCATGGACACTGGCATGCACACAGGGTGTTTTTCTAAGGGTCTTTATGGGCTGGAGCACGTGGTGGCTGTGGTCTGTGTGCACATAGACCTAGAACACTCATGGCGGGTGAGAGGCACTGAGGTTCTGCTGTGAAAGGCTGAAGAGTCTCAAGGGAGTAGACCTTTAGAGTCACTGCAGCAGCAGCTCACAGTCATAAAGTGCTTACTGATTGTCAGCACGGTGCTAAGTGCTTTATAAACCTCTGTCCTTGGCCAGGCGCGGTGGCTCACTCCTGTAATCCCAGCACTTTGGGAGGCCGAGGTGGGTGGATCATGCGGTCAGGAGATCAAGACCATCCTGGCCAACATGGTGAAACCCTATCTCTACTAAAAATACAAAAATTAGCTGGATGTGGTGGTGCACGCCTGTAATCCCAGCTACTTGGGAGGCCAAGACAGGAGAAACACTTGAACCAGGGAGTTGGAGGTTGCAGTGAGCCGAGATCACGCCACTGCATTCCAGCCTGGGTGACAGAGAGAGACTCTGAATCAATAAAAACAAAAAACAAAAAAACCTCTGTCATTGGCCCCTCATGACCATCTTTTTTTTTTTTTTTTTTTTTTGAGATGGAGTCTCGCTCTGTCGCCCAGGCTGGAGTGCAGTGGTGGGATCTCGGCTCACTGCAAGCTCCGCCTCCCGGGTTTACGCCATTCTCCTGCCTCAGCCTCCCGAGTAGCTGGGAGTACAGGCGCCCGCCACCATGCCCAGCTAATTATTTTGTATTTTTAGTAGAGATGGGGTTTCACTGTGTTAGCCAGGATGGTCTCGATCTCCTGACCTCGCAATCTGCCCGCCTCAGCCTCCCAAAGTTCTGGGATTACACGTGTGAGCCACCGTGCCCGGCCATGACCATCCTTTGAGGACCTTTGATTATCAGAGAGCTCAGGTCACCTCTCAATGCGACGACACAGCTCAAAAGTGGTGGAGACCATTCATGGGCCCAGGTCTGTTTCACTCTACAAGGTCACACCCTTAGTGCTATACTCTACTTCCTGGGTTCTCCCCAACCCCTTCCTTTAAGCTCCTTTCTTCTCCAAAGTTAGAGAACAGCCCTTGGTGATGCTGCAGGGCTGGGTTGGGCCAGGCTTCTTCTCATTCTTGGTCAGACTTGGATGTTTCTCGTCTTCTGGTTGAAAAATAGGGAAGGGAAACGTATGTTGTCGGTCTCCAAGCCCCTCCAGGAGCCAAATAGATCAAATGAGGTGGGGGGTGGGAGCTGGAATGTCCCAGGCTGTCTTCTCCCAGGTTGAGGAGCGGAAGCCATGACAGCTAAGGGGATTTGTGGAAATTCCTCGTGCATTGTTACCAGGCAAAGGAAGTGGTTTAGTGTTGAGCTCTCAATTTCTGCCCTGGGGAGCCACCACCAGTTTCCGCTTCTGAAACTTGTTTGTGGGAAACTGAAGGGGCTGTTTCAGGTCTTGAGTGTGGGGGGCTCCAGATAACACCACATCCCTCCTTTCCAGAGGGTAAGGGGACAGAAGGGCCCAGCAAGCCAGACAAAACACCCCCAGAATCTACTCTTTTTCCTTCCACTTTGAGGCTGGTGGCTCAGAGCCGAGGCAAATGAACAGAAACATTTTATCCAGGCTTGCTGGTATTTGTTTCTGGCACGATCAGCACAAGCAGATTAGAGAAATAAGTTGCATTTTTTCGTCTGTTTGCTGTTTGGACTGGACCTTGGCACGCTGGATCTGTGTGGTTCTCCACAGCCTCCAGTCCATTCTGGAGGGATGGCTGGGCCTGAGTCCCTGGCATGGCTGTCCATACTCTGCCAGATAGTGAGTTACTTCCCAGGCTCTCGAGAAGGTGATAATTAGCTCACCAGGAAAGATACACAGGCACCCATACATGTGTCTACATAGGGAGACACCACTGAACGTACTTACATGTGCGTATCCTTACATGTGCCAAACGGCTGCATGTTTCCTTCCCGTTGCTCTCCTGGGGTGCCTCTGGCTCCCCTTTCTGATGCAGGAACACTCTGTGGGAGCCCCCCAGAAAACACCAGAGGAAAGAGATGCTGGCCTTTCTGAGGCCAGTAAGGGTTTCCCGTGGAAACTGCGGCTGGGAGGCAGCCACGGAAGACCCTAGCAGGCTGCGCCACCCAGTCCCTGCCAGAAAACTCTTTCCCAGAAAGTCACCTTTGAGGCCAGGCGCGGTGGCTCACTCCCGTAATCCCGGCACCTTGGGAGGCTGAGGCAGGCGGATCACAAGTTCAGGAGTTCAAGATCAGCCTGGCCAAGATGGTGAAACCCTGTCTCTACTAAAAATACAAAAATTAGTCGGGCATGTGCCTCTAATCCCACCTACTTGAGAGCCTGAGGCAGGAGAATCGCTTGAACCTGGAAGGTGGAGGTTGCAGTGAGCCAAGACTGCGCCACTGCACTCCAGCCTGGGCTACAGAGAGAGACTCCGTCTTTCAAAAAAAAAGAAAAAGAAAAGAAAATCACCTTTGAGGTGTGACAGAAATCTGGTAGGGGAAGGAGGGACACGTAGGCCCGCAGGGTCTTTCTGAGCCCCCACACCCTGCCTGGTTAAAAAGCCAGGGTGTATCAGCTTGGCTTAACAAACCAAGTAGGAGTTACCAGCCTGTGAAAGAACTTTTACAAGATGAATGAACTGGGCAGGAGGTGCCCACTTGCCTGCCTTTCTCCCTCCTTCCTTCCATCTTTTCTTCCTTAATTTTTTCCAAGGGGTGGGGGATGGGGGGTGGTGGACAGAGTCTCATTCTGTTGCCCAGGCTGGAGTGTAGTCGCACAATCTCAGCTCATGGCAACCTCCACCTCCCTGGTTCAAGAGATTCTCCTACCTCAACCTCTTGAATAGCTGAGATTACAGGCGTGCGCCACCATGCCCAGCTAATTTTTGTATTTTTAATAGAGATGGGGTTTTGCCATGGTGACCAGGCTGGTCTCAAACTTCTCACCTCAAGTGATCAGCTTGCTTCGGCCTCCCAAAGTACTGGATTACAGGCGTGAGCCACCACGCCAGTCCTCTTCCTTCCTTTTTAAATTTTCTCTTCTTTCTCCTTCCCCTCTTTTCTCCCCTCCTTTCCGAAATTTCTTCCTCTTCCCTCCCTTCCTATCTTCTCCGTTCCTTTCCTTTCTCTGGCCTTCCCCTGCCTTCCTTCTATCTCTTAATTCTATCCTGGAAAGAGATCTCCAAGCATCCCTCTCCTTTAATCTTTCAGGACACATACTCCCCGACTTATGATGGCTGAACTTAGGATTTTTTTTAGTTTTCGGTGATGCAAAAGTGTTACACATTCAGTAGAAACTGCACTTCAAGTACCCATACAACCATTCTGTTTTTCACTTTCAGTATAGTAGTCAATAAATTGCATGAGGCATTCAACACTTTGTTATAAAATAGTCTTTGTGTGAGATGATTTCACCCAACTGTAGGCTAATGTAAGTGTTCTGAGCACTGTAAGTGTTGAAGGTAGGCTAGGCTAAGCTATGATATTTGGTAGGGTTGGTGTGTTAAATGCATTTTCCACTTAGGAGGTTTTCAACTTACAGTGGGTTTATCGGCAGGTAACTGCATCGTAAATCAAGAAGCATCTGTATATCCAGCTCAATATAAGCACTGAGGTTGGAAGATTTAACAAGTCACAGCTCAAGGATTACAACGTATCTTTCTCCTTCACAAACTCCACCTCTGGGTGAGATTTCAAGATGGCCAGAGTTGAACCGGTCATATCTCAACCCCAAATGCTTTCCTTCTCCAACAGTGAGGAGCAGGGTCTTTGTGGAGCCTATGCAGCAGGCCAAAGATGCGAACACCTAAGAGAAATGGAATTTGGGGTCATAAGTCAAGTACATATTCTATGTGGAAGAATTATTTCAGAGTTAATAGAGAATTTTTTTTTTTTTTTTTTGGTTTGGTTTTAAAGTGGTTTACGTCTATAAGACTTCTGGGAAAGGGACAGATTCCCAACGTGTAAAATATGAAATTTTCAAAGTCAACATTCCTAATGCCCAAATACACTTTAGGACTATGAAAACTTCATGTACAATGATATGTTGTTATGAACTAAATCGTACTGAACAGTTAGTTGTAAGAGGGCATTTTATGTTTTATTTTTATTTCCATGCGCGGTTTATTTTTGCTCTGACATTTTATTATAATTTCTTCCTACAGTAGGTGAAGTGCTTGGGAAGTTAATTTAAACCAGCCTGACTCTCTGTGTGTTTTTTAATATTTGTTTAAGCTTTTATTGAGCTTGTCAGGCAAGTCAGTGTGCAAAAATGCAGCCGAAAACCCCTTTTTCCTTCTGCGGTGCCTGCCCATTAATACTAGGTGGTGACAACAAGATTCGCGCACACTTCAAATGGGGGATTATTCTGGGTTTTCAAGGAAATTTGAGCCACCTGTTTCAGAAACCTCTTAGTGACTTACCAAGATGATGAAGGGTGTCTCCCCACTCAGCCGTCACTCAGAGTTCCGCCTCCTCTGGCTCCTTCTGACTCAGCCAGGCCCTGCAGGGGCAATTTGCAGCCCTGGTTGGACGCCTGAGCTCCAAGTTGTCCTCCCAGCTTGTGGCTTGGCCTCAGCCTGGGCCAGAGAAGCAGCTGCCATCTCTCTACAGACCTGCGGGGAACTTTCCAGATCCACAGCAGGCTGGCTTTCCCCTGGGTTTGGGCTGCCCAGTCTGGAGCTGTTTATCATGGACAGCAGAACGACATGGGATCACCTTTGAGGAAGTGAGTTGTGAGAGCCAATTGTGCGGCCTACGTGTCGGGGAGCCACGCTGCCCACAAAATTTGGCCAAGGAGGGAAATAGAAAGTCAACATTTTCCAGCAGGCTGGGAAGGCGGCTGGGTATTTCTGGAGCCCAGGACTCTCTGGTAAAATGGTCCTTGTGGTGGTGAGAGGCAAAAAAAAGGTGGTAGTGGCGGGGGGCACAGTCAGATCTCTACGAGGCTCAGGAAAGGTCTCTTAACTCAAGCAAGAGGTTTCCCTGGCACACAATCCAAGTGCTCCACACTGACCAGGAATCTCACTGAACCTAACCCCAGGAGCGGACTAGACCCAGGGTGTCATGGCTGGAAGGAGCCTTAGCAATGATCTAGACCAGGGGCCCTCCAAGTGTAGGCTTGGGTCCTCTGCATCAGCATCTCCTGGGAACTTATTAGAAATGCAGATTCTCAGGCCCTAACCCAGACCTGCTGGGCCAGAAACTCCAGGGGTGGGGCCCAGCAGCATGTGTTGTGACAAGCCCTCCAAGTGATGGTCCTGCAGGGCACAGTTTGATCATCACTGGGAAGGCTCCAAGCATTCAATCAGTGGGGAAACTGAGGCCTGGGGTGAGGTAGGAGGAAGGAAAGTAACACATTCATCACCGGCTTGTTTGTGGCAGAAGCAGGACAAGTTCTGCCAGGCTAGATTTCCTCCTGCCCCTTCTTCTCCTGCCAACTTAGAGAGGAGAAGGCTCTAGTGTCTGAAATTCCACCAATCGCTGGCGGTTGATCTGGCTCTTCTCTCCCTCTGCTGATCTTATAGCCATCTGCAAACTTCAGGAGGACTCTATACCGCTTCTCATAGCGGGCATGTTGATAATTCAGACTTTCACTTTTCAGTCAATGTTGTGAACAAGCGAGCTAGAAGAATGACCTTTGACTTTGATAAATGACCTGGTCTTTCTCCAGTTGAGTTAGCTAAGCTAAGTGTTCCTGCCCTGCTGCGCTCCCTTCTAAATGAGGGCTCTATGCCTGCCACCCCCGCTAAGTGGACAACACCTTCTGCTCCATGGGACAATGCTCCATGGTGACTGATACTGATGGCAGGGGGACAGAGCCCTGACTGAGAGGAGGGGGCAGCCACAGGCTAGCTAAGAATCTCCAAGGCCCATAGACTTGAAAAGATGATCTGGGCCAATCAAATTCCTCCCCTGGGAGTTTAGAATTGGGAAACTCAGAGGCTGGGTCCATTAGCAATGGAAACCAAAGCTTAAAGGCCATTTGGGGAATTGCATGATGTAGATGGGGCCTGGATAGTCCTGAGGAGCTTGGTGCAAGCTGAGGACAGGCAAAGTAAGTGGAGGAAGGTCGGCAGTGGAAAAAGAGCAGAGAAGAAAGAGAGAGAAACAGAAATCCCACAAGGAAGACCTGTGGGATTTAGTTTTCTTGAGGCCTGATTTTTGTTTTCGTTTTTTAGACAGAGTTTTGGTCTTATTGCCCAGGCTGGAGTGCAATGGCACGATCTCGGCTCACTGCAACCCCCACCTCCCAGGTTCAAGCGATTCTCCTGCCTCAACCTCCCAAGTAACTGGGATTATAGGCGCCCGCCACCATGCCCAACTAATTTTGTATTTTTTGTTTTATTTTATTTATTTATTTATTTTTGAGATGGAGTCTCACTCTGTCACCTAGGCTGGAGTGCAGTGGCGCGATCTCGGCTCACTGAAAGCTCCACCTCCTGGATTCAAGCGATTCTTCTGCTTCAGCCTCCCGAGTGGCCGGGACTACAGGCGCCCGCCACCACATCCCGCTAATTTTTTTGTATTTTTAGTAGAGATGGTGTTTCACCGTGTTAGCCAGGATGGTCCCGATCTCCTGACCTTGTGATCCACCCATCTCGGCCTCCCAAAGTACTGGGATTACAGGTGTGAGCCACGGCGTCAGCCAAATTTTATATTTTTGGTAGAGCTGGGGTTTCACCATATTGGTCAGGCTGGTCTCAAACTCCTGACCTCAGGTGATTCACCCGCCTCAGCCTCCCAAAATGCTAGGATTACAGGCGTGAGCCACCACCCCTGCCCAAGGCCTGATTTTTCTGTAGCTCATGCCCTTGGCATCTAGCACATTTCCTGTTATGTTCTGACCACAAACAGAGCTAACCTGGGTGGGTCTCTGTTCGTGGTAACCCAAGTTACTACATCAGGGCGTGGCAACATTTTCTATAAAAGGGCAGATAGTAAATATATTAGACTTGCTAGCTGCATGGTCTCTGTTGACACTACTCAATGCTGCCTTCCTAAGGCAAAAGCAACCATAGACAATATGGCAATAAAGGGGTATGGCTATGTTCCAATAAAACTTTATTCCCAAAAATAGGTGACTTTGCTTGTCCCCTTCAAGCAGAAAAATAAATACATAAGTAGAAAAAAAAAAAAAAACAACTCACAGGTACCATCTCACTGGCCAAGGTTTGCTGACTCCTGTGCTGGATTAAAATCTAAGTGTGACCGGGTGCGGTGGCTTACGCCTGTAATCCTAGCACTTTGGGAGGCCAAGACAGGCAGATTGCCTGAGCTCAGGAGTTCGAAACCAGCCTGGGCAACAGGGTGAAACCCTGTCTCTACCAAAAATGCAAAAAAATTAGCCGGGCGTGGCGGCGTGTTCCTCTAGTCCAAGCTACTTGGGAGGCTGAGGCAGGAGAATTGCTTGAACCCGGGAAGCAGAGGTTGCAGTGAGCCGAGATCGCACCCCTGCACTCCACACTCCAGCCTGGGCAATGGAGTGAGACTCCATCTCAAAAAAAAAAAAAAGAAAAAAAAATTAAGTGTGGCAGGCCGGGTGCGGTGGTTCAAATCTGTAATTCCAACACTTTGGGAGGCTGAGGTGGGAGGATCACCTGAGGTCAGGAGTTCGAGACCAGGCAGGCCAACATCGTGAAACCCTGTCTCTACTAAAAATACAAAAAAAATTAGCCAGGTGTGGTGGCACATGCCTGTAATCCTAGCTACTCAGGAGGCTGAGGCAGGAGAATCGCTTGAACCCAGGAGGCAGAGGTTGCAGTGAGCCGAAATCATGCCACTGGACTCCAGCCTGAGCAACAGAGCAAGACTCCACCTCAAAAACAAACAAACAAAAAACCTTAAGTGTGGCAAAGACTACCACCCTTCCATTCCTTTAAGTCTAGTCCAGGTCTCATTTGATTGTGGATTTTTTTTTTTTTTTTTTTTTTTTTAAAGACAGTTTCACTATTGTTGCCCAGGCTAGAGTACAATGGCACAATCTTGGCTTACTGCAACCTCTGCCTCCCGGGTTCAAGCAATTCTCCCGTCTCAGCCTCCCAAGTAGCTGGGATTACAGGTGTGCACCACCACACCTGGCTAATTTTTTGTATTTTTAGTAGAGACAGGGTTTCATCATGTTGGTCAGGCTGGTCTCAAACTCCTGACCTCAGGTGATCCAACCACCATGGCCTTCCAAAGTGCTGGGATGACAGGTGTGAGCTACCACGCCCAGCCTAGATCTTAATCTTAAGGCTGGGTGGAGTATGGGCCATATATTCCCTCTGTATCCTCTCTTCTGTTAGTACTCTGCCTCTTCCCAGGCTGGCCAGCTACTCTGGAGTCATGGTAAAAACCCCAAACCCAAAAGTTTATAAGAACCAGGATTATCCAATCAACAGACTAACATACACACAAGGTATCTGCAAAGTGAGAACATGCTCTAAGCTCAGCTTTAATGAACTATGTGAAATTTTACAAACAGGAAATCTAGAAGGAAACCTTATAATTTCAGCATATGAAATATCAAATAAAATACTTAAGTTACATTTAGATCATGATGAATGTAAAATAGGATTGACAATAGAGAGTGGTGGAGACCGTGGTAAACTGGTGAGATTCTGCCCTGTCTAAAGTCAGTGATAGCCAATACTTAACTTTGGTTCATCATACCCTTTGGGGATGCAACCTGTCTGATGTCAGATTTTCCAGTTCTTGGGTATCTGAATTTTTTAAAAAGTAAAACCTCTTTGTTTTTTAATATTAGCAACTAATTTAAATTTGGGGAAAATTTGGTTTTGTTGTTTTTTTGAGATGGCGTCTCACTCTGTCACCCAGGCTGGAATGCAGTGGCACGATCTTGTCTCGCTACAACCTCCACTTCCCGGGTTCAAGCAATTCTCCCTGCCTCAGCCTCCCGAGTAGCTGGGATTACAGGCACCTGCCACCATGCCCAACTAATTTTTGTATTTTTACTAGAGACAGGGTTTTGCCATGTTGGCCAGGCTGGTCTTGAACTTCTGACCTCAGGTGATCTGGCCCCCTTGGCCTCCCAAAGTGCTGGGATTACAGGCCTGAGCCACTGGGCCCAGCCTGGTTTTTTAAAAAAACGTCCACAAGTCAGATTCAACCTGTGAGACTCTCAGAGCCAATTCACCCTTTTGTCTTACCCACACCGGACTGAGCTCCCTTTGGCATATTTACCTCACTCCTTAGAGAAGGAAGGCCCTGCAGTTGTCTCCGAATTCTTGAGAGGGAAACTGAGTCCAGAAAGAGTGGGTACCTTACCTGTCACTCACTGGATCAGGACCAGAGCTGAGTGACAACCACGCCAGCTCCAGGTTTCCACTTGAGGGAGGCCTAGCCTGTGTTTGAAACTTCGGCTGGCCTTCCCAGCGTTTCTCTCTACTCACTCGCGCTCCCACATGTGGGCTGTGCTCACAGTGGTATCCGCCTGTGGTTGCTGCAGTTGGCAGGAGGGGCTCTGAGAAACCAAAAGACGGGTATATTTAATAAGTCAGAATATGAGCTGGAATCTAATCCTGTGACAAGAACAGCTCTTAGCTGGCCCCTCCAGCATGTGTTGGGAAATGGACCTTTCTCTGGTCCTCAGACAGAGTCCCTCCAACGTGAATCACAGGTTGTTTATTCAAATTAAGGAATATATTTTCTTCCTGAGGGCATGGCAGGAAGAAATAAGCTATTTGCAAAACAGGAGTTATAAGCAAGTCTTCAGGAAGAAGAGAGATTAAAAAACAAGGACACGGCTTCTGGAAGTGTTTGTGGGTGTTCTTTTTCTAGAGGCTCTCAGGGATGCACTAGCTCAGGGCAGCTGGTGGGGGAGTGGGGGACAGGGCTGCATCCTTTGAGAATCCCTTCCAGAAAATGTCAGCCTTGGGTAAAGATGGAAGCCAAGTCCAGATGGTTTGAATGTAGCCGCTCCTCTGAGAATATGTTTCTGGCTACATCCCTGAGCCAAATGAAAGTGGTTTTTGGATTATCCAGTGTTTTATTTTAATTCAAGCCTCATCTTCCATTAGTCCAAGCCAGCCCATCGTTACCAGCATTGATTCTGTAATTATGAGTCATCAATCTATTTCTCTATGGCCGATGGGAGTAATGGTGGTGTTTGGAGTCAAATAGTTTGAGTTCTAATCCAAACTACCATTATTAGCCATGTCATTCTGGCAAATTACTTAATCTCCTTGTAGCTCAGTTTTCCTATGTGTAGAATGAGAACAATCATAGTATCCATAGTATCTACTTCATAAGGTTCTTGTGAGATTAAAATGAGAAATGCATTCATTTATTCCTAAGTATTCACTTAACACCTGCTTTTAAGTGCTGGCAATAGAGGACTAGATAGGCAGTGCTCCTGCTCTTGAAATGCTAACATTCTCCAGTGTGCTCAGCAAATAATAGGTCCTGTTATTACTGTTGTGCTGTTGCTATTGGTGTTCTTACCACCCAACTCATGGGGAAGGAGAGAGATATAATCCCAACCTGTGGCTCAGTTTTTCTGAATATGCATGGTCTGAAAGATTTGTCATGGCACAGTGGCTCTTGCTTGTAATCCCAGCACTTTGGGAAGCCAAGGTGGGGGCATCACTTGAGTTTAGGAGTTCAAGACCAGCCTGGATGACATGGCAAGATCACATCTCTACAAAAAAATAAAGCAATTAGCCAGGCATCGTGGTGTGTGCCTGTGGTCTCAGCTACTTGGGAGGTTGAGGTGGGAGGATCACTTGTGCCCAGGGAGTCAAGGCTTCAATGAGCTATGACCAAACCACAACATTCCAGGCTGTGTGACAGAGCAAGATCCTGTCCCCCCCCCAAAAAAAAAAAATCCATCCTTTACTGTATAATAACCATTATCAGGCCGGGTGCAGTGGCTCACGCCTGTAATCCCAGCACTTTGGGAGGCCGAGGCAGGTGGATTACCTGAGGTAAGGAGTTCAAGACCAGCCTGACCAACATGGTAAAACCTCACCTCTATTAAAAAATACAAAAATTAGCCGAGTGTGGTGGTGGACACCTGTAATCCCAGCTCCTCAGGAGGCTGAGGCAGGAGTGTCTCTTGAACCCGGGAGGCAGAGGTTGCAGT